AAAGGGGGTACTGTTCCAACTGCTAACTAGTTTGTACATTTATTGTCTATTTTCGTATGTGATGTATTCTGCATGAAGCAAGTCTCATTGTGTGTTTAATTAGTTATTCGTACAGACTGTTTTGGTCCTAATTGACGATGTATAACTACATCAGACGTCTACTTAGTCTGCTTAGTAGTTGCATTGTCAATTTCAGAGCTGATTATAGTGTTTGTGATTTGCAAGGGACTGAGAATTTTTGTACCACTGTTGGGTCAGCTCCTGTCACGTGAGCCTGGTTTTCGTTTTTTTTTATTTTCAAAAAGGCAAATCCCAATCTATTCTGGGTGGGCATCAGTCCGGTTGCTCATCACCGGCAAGCCAAAAGTACATAAAAGGCTGTTGAAGAGGAAAAGAAAGAGTATATCGGACAAGAATCATATACAGCCACCCTTGCAGCTCTAGCCGCTTACACAAAAGGGGGGGTTGCTTTGACCGCTCTCCCCCGAACCATGACTCGTTTGCAGGGTGCACTTGCCGGTCGGGAAGCTTACTGGCAGAACCCAGACGCACAGCATGTGGAACCTGTAAATGGCGGGGCGAGGGGAAAAGCCGCCTGGCAGCCTCACCAGGCGGTCAATGTCCAAACTCTAGCTGAATATCCATTTCTGAGTCGTTGTCCCTACCTTCTTCTCCATTACGTAATCAATCGCTTATCTTACTTTACTCGATTATGTAATCAATCGCTTATCTTACTTTGCTCGATTATGTAATCAATCGCTTATCTTACTTTGCATTCCACCCACAGTAAGAGTTGGTAAAATGATGGGTGCCCCTAAAAGAGTCCACTTGATAAGACCACTCAGATTGTCAAAAAATGAAGCACAAATTTGTAACATACGTGTTTGATGGGAGTTATTTCATCTACACGTGTATGTACACGAAGACGTGAGTTATACTGAATGCTCAGTAAATTACACACCACTTCAAATCTATCTTTTCGAGAAGGATAATCAACTCCACAAATATCGATCAAAACTCAAAAGCTTGTGTTCGTACGATTTTTTTTTTTTTTTTAACATTTGAAAAAGATTGTTTGGATTGGTATATATTTACATTTCCTTTTTTAATATTTTAGGCAGCCCTTCGGTTTTAGTCTCAATGTTCCCTTGCCGGTTGCTTGACATCCAGATACTTTGCCTATTGCCAAACTTGCTAGTACAAACTACAATATATTGTATGCCTCATGCTTGGCCATGCAAAATGTGCCCATTCCCTACCTTGGGCTATGCCCCTAATACTCACTAGCTCCCCTGGTTCCTTACAATCTGTGTATAGTACCCTGACTTTTTCATTCTCGCAGTCAACTTTTGTGCTATGGTAGGACAAGGAACATGCTAGTATGAATGGGAGTTGTTACTGTCTACATGAGCGATTAGGGTAGTGAGGGTCGGGAGGATGATCGACGGTTGCCTAGGAGCGTAGCTTGAAGCTTACCTTATGTGTTGCAAGCATTAAGGCCTGGAGACGAAGCTACGCGTAGGAGAGAGGCTGCTGCGAGGAGGCAGGTTGCCGCTGCCAGGGCTGCCGTTCAGCAGACAGCTGGGGCGTTAGCACCAATGGCCTCTCAGGCAACTAGTCAGAGTGCAGCACCGAGTCAAACGCAGGGCACCGAGCAGTCCATCTTGAGTCTCTCGATAGGCTTGCGGTCTAACCATATGGATGGTGAGCAGTCAAGACAGCCCCAAGCCCTTGCACCCAAGGGGCAGACATATTTTGATGCCACTGCAGGCCATCAACACATAGCAGCTCAGTTGCACGGTGCTGAGAGAGAAGAAACCGGCCGGAGAATAGACAGGCAGATAAGGAGGTATTCGAGGAAATAGATGAGAGCAGTCTACATGACTCAGAAAGAGCGCTGAGACTCCATGCAGGCAATGCATGAGGCAGTGCAGTGTTATGATTCTGGTTGTTTGTTGCCTGTAGGCCAACACTCACTCACATAGACTTCCAGGTATGCCCATACATACACAGAAGGAAGGGGAGAGGATAGGAGTATCACACCGCACAAGGAGAGATAAACACAACGGAAACTTGACCATGCGATATGACAGGGTACACTGAAAGTGCAATTCACTCCACTCAATCCTCACAACCAATCATAGAGAAAAGCCGAGCAGATCACATCCAGGAAACAATGAAACGATGATAGTCCAAACACAGTATCACACTATTTATTAAACTCACAGTCTCAAATTGTCAGGATAACTTCAATACTACAGTGCGCTGCTCAGAAATGAGCAACGCTTCACTCCCCAACCCTGAATAACACCCGTAACACCCATGAGACCTTGAAACATCAAGCGCCACCCAGATACAGCCTCCTGAGGGAAGCGCCACCGTGAAACAGGCCCCTGAGGCCAAGCGCCACTCAGAGGATGAAGAAGAAGACCAGCGCCACAGTATCTGATGATGACGAAGTGTCGGGAGACTTCCCGGGTGGAAGTCTGCAGCAGCGCCACCAAACCTTGACAAGATGACCTCTGAGAAGAAGAACACCCTGGAACCCCACTCCGAAGGAGGGTCCAGCAGGGCACCAATCTCTCTCGCCTCCAGCAGACCTCGATAACCCAGACCTCTGTCAGCCCCTGCATGCTGGCACAGTACAGCGCAAGTCCCAGCTATGGTCGGCACTCCGAAGGTCTGGCTATGCCTGTCTCCTTCCACGCTGAGCCGTCACCACTTCCGGTTCACACATAGCGCAGCAGCGATGTAATCAGTACCAACTGCCAAAAGCCCTGAACCGATGTGCCCAATCTATCTATGGACTACACTAGCCTAGACTCGACCTAGACCGGACTGACTGACTGACCGGTACCGTTTCTCTTTCAGCCTCTCGGCCTCTACCGAACCCGGCTATAGGCTATAGTCTCGATTCAGAATAGGCCCTTGGGGCCTGTCTGTCCTAGGGGTACCGCGGGCCTGCTATCCGCAGTTAGCATAGCTGTAGGGGAATCCGGTTAGTACCGGGCCTGTATTTTCCTGAATTTGTAGATATGTCCCTCACGAATTTCCCTCACAGGTAGGTCTCTCGGTTAGCCCTCAGCCAAACAAAATTGCTAATCTGTCCTACCTATAGTACAGCCTCGACAGAGAGAGGCTACAAGCGACTAGAAAACAGCAAGTAACGCCTGGTGAACTCTACAGTTCCAGGTGTCAGCGTAGGGGTAGCCTTATCGGTGATGTCATCGAGAGGCTGCCGTGGTTCACGACCCCAATGTAACCGGTAGGGTGTGAAGCCAGTAGAGGAGTGTACAGACGTGTTATACACAAGCTGTGCACGACCCAAATGGAGATCCCAGTCCTGCTGATTTGGACTAATCACAGGACACAACAACTGGAAAAGAATCTGGTTCATCACTTCAGCCTGACCATTGGCTTCAGGATGACGACCAAATGTCATGTCCAGGAGTGAATGAAGGTAATCCCTGCAGTAGGATTGCCATTCATTGCTGCAAAACCGGGGATCTTTGTCACTGACAATAGAGGTGGGTGGTCCATGATGTGTAACCCACCTGTCAGCAAACGCCGCCTGAACGGCTAGCACGCGAGCCTCAGCTGGTGAGGGGATGAACTCTGCATATTTGGAGAACCGATCCACACATACCATGACCTGACGCATACCACGAGGAGTAGTCCTACCCAAGTCAGTAAAATCAATAGATACTGACTGCGCAGGAGCATCAGGGATAGGTAGTGGTTTGAGAAGGCCAAGGGGAGATCGACGTACAACCTTGTTCCTTTGGCATAACTCACAGGTTTCCACATAGTGCAGCATCTCACTCCTCATCTCCTTCCAGAAGAAGGACTGCAACAGGGCTGCATAAGATTTGAGGGCCCCCAAAGTGACCACGAGCATCATGACACTCTGGCATCAGCAGTGTCCTCAGCTTGCGGTCCTGGGAATGCACAGACGCTCCTCACCTCTGCTGCATGTATATAGCAGTCCTGAGACCACAGTATATCCTGGTTCATAGGCAGGATCGTCCTGGAGATTCCTCACAATAGGCCCAAAGATCTCATCCTGGGGCAGCAACTGGGCAATGGTCTGACGTGTCCTCTCTCCAAAAGAGTGAGTGAAGGAGATCAGGAAAAGAGCGTCAGGCCTACGAGAAAAGGCATCTACTACTCGATTGTAGCATCCCTTCTTCTGTCTCAGTTCAAAGTCAAACATGTCAATGAACTGGATGTAGCGAGCAAGCTTGTCATTCAACTCTCCCTGGGACTTCATCCATTGCAGGGTGGAGTGATCTGAAAAGATCTTGAAGTGCTTGCCCAGGAGAAGGTGCTGACACAAGAGCATAGAGCTCTTTCTCATAAGTGGAATCCTGCAGCTTTTTGGTCTTGATCTTCTTGCTCATGTACTCAATAGGCTGTAGACCATTCCCATCATCCTGCTGAAGTACCGCCCCTACACCATACTGACTAGCATCAGTAGTAAGCACAAAAGGCAGGGTAGGGTCAGGTAGCTTCAAGACAGGGGCGCGAATCAAGGCCTCCTTGAGACATGTAAAAGCCTCCTGACATTCTGATGTCAAAAGAAAGGAAGTGTCTTTCTTTGTGAGATCAGTCAAGGGAGCTGCAATAGAAGAGAAGGTCTTGATGAACTTCCTATAGTACGATGCAAGCCCCAAGAATGACCGGACATCACGAATGTTAGCAGGTCGAGGCCAGTCCTGAACTGCAGCAACTGTCATTGCTTCGGGAGCCAACCCCTCTCCAGAGATGACGTGACCCACATAGACTACAGAGAGAACCCCAAAAGAGGACTTCTCCCGGTTGATCTTATACTGGTTATCACGTAAGGCCTAGAGGACCAAAGCCAGATGTTGCGCATGCTGCTGGACAAAACGATTGAATACCACGATATCATCAAGGTAGTGCGATGCATCTCTGTTTGGAAGGTGCCTTGGGCATTGCAAAGACCGAATGGCATAACCAGGTACTCACAAGTGCCATACCTGGTTTTGAAGGTTGTCTTGTGGACATCGCCTTCAACCATCTCAATCTGGTGATAACCAGATTTGAGGTCGATCTTGCTAAAGATAGTGCATCCCTGCACCATATCCAACAGGTCATCAATGCGAGGAAGGGGCTCTGTAGACTTCCTCATGATTTTGTTGAGACCACGATAGTCCACCCACATCCTGAACTCACCATTCCCATTTGGAACAAAGAGGACTGGTGCCCCAAATTCAGATGTGCTGGGCCTGATCCAGCCCTTGCTGGTCAGGGTCTCCAACCCTTTCCTGAGCTCTTCAAGTTCAGCAGGAGACATCCTGTAGACCCGACTGTTGGGGGGAACCGAACCAGGTAGGATCTCAATCTTATGTTTGGTCTTCCTATGGACAAGTCCAGTAGGCTCCTCCATAAAATCTGAGAATTTGTCCACAACCTGCTGCATCTGAGAGGGGCAGGGAGCAATCTCCATGTCAGTCTGTTTGACATAAGCCACGAACAGACGGGCGTGGTCAATCTGGCGTGAGAATCGCATGAATCTGCGAGCACTCATGCAATAACAGCTGCTGGCCGGATGGTAATGCAAGGGCGGTATACCCCATGCCGGTCAGGTAGCTCAACCCTAGGGATCCGCCAGTCGATCCTAGGATTGGTGGCTCCAAGCCACTGCATAGAGACGACACGGTCAAAGGGAACGTTAGGAAACACGTAGAAGTTCAAGCGGTGCCTGACTTCGCCCTGCTTGTCAAATGATACAGGTAGGCCCTTGACAACAGTAGTGATCCTGACTGTGGAGGAGTCTCCAATGTGTACCTCCAAAGGCTGTCGCAATTTCACCAATCTCTGATCCAAGTGCAGCTTGCTGACTGTCATGGGGGAGATGAAGTTGCGAGTAGCCCCACAATCTAAGAGCCCTTTGATCTTGGCTCCCAGGATGGAGGGTCGAAGCAGGATGAGTTCAGACTTATGCTTCTTCTTCTCCTGCAAGAGATCCTGATTGTGGAGGAGTCTCCAATGTGTACCTCCAAAGGCTGTCGCAATTTCACCAATCTCTGATCCAAGTGCAGCTTGCTAACTGTCATGGGGGAGATGAAGTTGCGAGTAGCCCCACAGTCTAAGAACCCTTTGATCTTGGCTCCCAGGATGGAGGGTCGAAGCAGGATGAGTTCAGACTTATGCTTCTTCTTCTCCTGCAAGGACAGGAAAAAATCAGCAATACACTGAGCATCATCCTCCTCCCACGTCGCATCCAACTCAGAGTCTTCAAAAGTGAAAGACCCTGAAGATGCAACTCCTGAGATAGAAGAACCAGCAAGAGAATGTGAAGATTCACCTTCATCAGAAAGTGAATCAGCACTGGTGGAAGGAGCTGCTGCTTCCACCTCTCTCTGCTCTAGTTTTTTGAACTAGAGCTGCCTGTAGACCTGCAAGACATACTGGGACAGTCCTTTAAGAAGTGGTCCCCCTCGCATCTCAAGCAGACACCCTTGTCCTTTCTCTTCCTCCAGACCCCCTCCTGGATCTTGAGCGCATGCCAGGGGAAGGTGGAAGGATCAAGGGGGTCAGCTGGCCATCGGACGTCTCGTGGCAAAGGTATTCTCTGGGCACTAGGGGAAGAGGCACGTCCCTTTCCTTTCCCCTGTCTATTGGTTGATGCTTTCTGGGCTGGGGCCTTGCCCTTTGTCAAGCCCATCAAAGCATCAGCCAGCGCAAGAACACCAAAATCTGCAGCAGATGATGATGCAGTCCCAGGTGGAGGGCTCCCACCCTGGGATGCTGCATCACTATCTGAATCAGAAGCTGCAGCAGCAAATAGGGCACCCTTCCTCCTCCTTCACCCTTTGGAGGAGGGTCCCTTCCTTCCTTCACAAGGTGCCTCCTGAACATGGAGTTTGGACTCCAAGTCCAGGACTGCTCTGCCAAAGGACCGCTAGTCCTTGTGGCCCTGAGAGATAAGAGCAAGCTGGAATTGCTCAGGCGTTGCCCTGAGGAAATGAATGAGCAGATCCTGCTCACTCATCTCCAACCCAGGAGTCGATGTAAGACTCTCAAAGGTGGAGTACAGTTTGGACAAGGAGCCATCAAACTTTTTTTGGCCCAGGCGCAGAATATTATCTGCTGCTTTTTTGGCCTGCTCCTTGTCTGCAAACCGATCCTGCAGCGCCTGCAAAAATCCAGCCACCCCCAGCCACTGCGCCCAATCAACCATCTCCATACCTTGCTTGCTGGAGGTGGCGGTGCACCATTTCAGTGCTGATCGCTCCAAGCGAGCGAGGATGGCTGACACCTTCACATCCTCATCACATTTGAACCCACTCAGGTAGGTTCTCTGCACAACAACCCAGTCTGCCACATCCACCTTTGGGTCCTCGCCTGAGAACATGGGTGGCGGTGTCACCTTAGGCCGCTGAAACTCAAATGGTGCTAAAGGCGGTGTCAGCTTAGGCCGCTGAAACTCAAATGGTGTTGAGGGCTGTGAAGTTGCTGTTGATGTGGGTGTAGTGGGTGCAGATGTAGCTCTGGAGTGTGGGGGAGATGCAGGTTTCCCTTGAAAAGGTCCAGGAGAGAGAGGAGCAGGAGAAATAGTAGGGATCTTAAGGTGAGTGAAGATCAGATCCAATTTGGCAGAGATATCATCCAACTTTTTAGAAGAAGCTAAGTGACTACTCTCCAGACTGGTGATCCGGTCATCCCAGTTAGTAAAATAAGAATGATGAATGTCATCCTACAGGAGGATGAATTCAGCCATGTCCTTATTATACTGACTGGAACTCCCACTAACCCTGATCTTCTCCACATCTGCAATCAGCAACTTTCGCCTTGCCTCTTTCTGGGTTGCTTCCTCTTTCTTCTTCAACTCAGCCTTTAGAGTCTCAACTGCCTGGGCCTGCTGGCGAAGTTTCTCCTCCTGGGCCTGCAGTTCAGCCTCTAAAGGGTCCAGCGGAATCTGAGGCTTGACTTCAGAAGTTTCTGCCTTCCCTGCATCAACCATTTTGAATCTTCCCACAATTCAGATAAATAAAATAAACAAACACTCAGAGACAACGCAAGAGATAACAGGAATTGAGACTTCCCTTCAGTACTAACTCAATTGTTGTCACCTGCCTGGAGAGAGAAGATTGGTTAGTCTGAGCAAGTGAGTGCTCAGTCTCAACAGACCGCTTCAGGGTCAGGGTCAGTTTAGAGTCCACTCAGGCAAAAACCAATTTCACGATTTTTCCATCCCTGCCCTGACACAACAATTGCATGCAATCATTGCAAATCCTACTTCAACAACTGACAAGATGCAGTCTTGGACTTATTAGTATTGATTAGTAATTAGACAGAGTGACTAATTAGAGTTAGACAAGTGTCCACTGATGACCAAGATGCAACGATTTACAGGATTTCCTATTTTTAGACTTACCCTACAGACCTCAACATTGTATGACCTTGTATGCCATACCCTGGGTATGGCGAATTACAGTTTTCACTGTAACTGACTCAGAACACCAAATCTGGATGTGCGATTTCATACACTGACAGAATACTGAATTGCCATTTACCAGGGACTAACAGAATTGAATTCTGACGGACACAAACCCTACTCTAGCCTAGCTTTAGCTATGTCAGCGCAAAATTCAATTTTGCACGATCACTGATAACAGACCCCTGAATTCACCAATTCACTACACAGTGTCAATCACAATACTGTAGAGCAGTCCCAGATGAAATATGAGCCAGAGAGAAGGTCAAACAGGGTTAGTAGAAGTCAATGAAGATAGGTAGGGGAAGTTGGATATGGCTGTCCCACAGTCTGAATTTCGATTTTCAACTGTCACCTGACAGACATACCAAATTTCGCTATTCTAAAAATAACCCCAGAATCACCACACAGGATGGAGTAAGGAACACACTTACTTCAGGGTCAACTCTGAAGAAGATGCATTAAACCCTGGCTATGGCCGACTGGTCAACCCCATCTCGCCAGTTTCATCTCCTAATAGTATCCATTAATCCCACGTACCAAATTGCCTGAAACTTGGTGATCCAGTAGATTACCCTGAGGCGCTTCACCCCCAACTGACATATTCAGAAAATTCGGACTCCCAGGTGCTAATAACTGACAAAGTCAGTGCAGCGCCACACCTTCCACAATCGCAACCTCCTGGGATCACTTCCTTGACAATCGCCAAACTCTAGGTGAATCGCCAGGCTATATTTAGCCTCTCAGAGTCTCTCAGGCCTCTGAATATCAATCGCCAACCACTCCTGCACAACCCCCGTCAGGAGTGAGTCACTCTCTGCCCAATTCTTCTCGCCACTCACTCACAGCCACCACCCTTACTGACAACAACCCTGAAGATGATGAATCGCCTTGAAACTCAACTCCAGTGTCTCGCCAGATGATGATGGGTGCTCCAACTCATCAATCGCACCAGAGCCTGGATCCAATTGCTCCGATACCAACTGTGTTGTCTGTAGGCCAACACTCACTTAGTGGACTAAGCCGCAGTGCAACGGCAGTACAACGTCGGTAGGATAGCGGTAAGTCCACAGTCAGTCAGCGGAAGGTCCAGTCAGTCCCAGTCCGGTCCAGCAAGTACCACAGGGGGACTGTGAGCACCAAGGGCCGATGGCAAAGGGCAGACCAACGAGTTTCTGAAGTATAAATCAAGAGGCAGCACCCAGCCGTTCATTCATTCCTGCCTGAGCCATGCGGAAGCGCTGCCACAGCGACTTGTGCAAGGAGGTCTGCAGATGAGCCTGGAGGACGCAGTGGGCAAGAGAGAGGGAGTTAGTATAGCGATAGGTTAGATGCAGCGATAGTTGCCATAGCTGTAGTTAGTAATGAGTGTGTGTGTGTGTTTGAGTGTTAGGGCCTGATGCGTGTGGGGTATCCAGGGTGATCCAGTGTATGTGAACAGTGAGACGTTTGGGCGCTGAAGTCGCCATAGCCAATTGAGAGTGAACTCGTATCTGAAAGCCATATCTCTGAGTTTTGAGTGGGCGCATGTCGCCAGTATGCTGCGTGCTGTTTACATACATGAAAATTGTAAAACGAGTCTGATTGCATTGGTATCAGAGCTGGTACCCACTACTCCATGCGCGCCGTCGTATGCAGGGCCTGATGCGCCATAGCCGAGGTGGCAGCCGAAGGAGATAGTCCGCCATAGCGGACCTGAGGTTGAAGAAGCCGCCGCGCACCTGCAAGAAGACCACGACGACGAAGAAGAGAGAGAGAGAGAGAGAGAGAGAAAGAGAGAGAGAGAGAGAGATGAGCTGTTACGTACCTGTGAAGTTACCGCACAGTCCATGAAGAAGAAAGAAAGCGGCCATAGCCGCACAGCCGGTACCACGGAGTGACGAAGTAGGAGGGAGAAGGACAGAGGGGGAGAGACCGAG